ACACTGATTGAACTGGAAAAATAGAGGGTATTTAAAGAATTGACAAGCTCAGCCTATGTTGCCCATAATTTTACCTAAATCATGGCACTAAATAGAAGCTAAGGTAGTTGCCTTACCCAGCCCTCTCTGTATATAGATTGCATATACTGACGGGGATTTTAATCTCTGTGCATCTGTGATCATTAGTTATCACTGCAGATTAGGACAAGAGGAAAAAGCGAAGCGAAGTGTGCTGCTTATTTACTTTCCCATAGTGCTTAAAGCTCTCTCTGGGCAGTTTGCAATTTAATTATGCAGACTACACATTGTCCCATCCCCAGCGAGCTGGGTACTCATTTTACCAACCATAGAAGGAGGGAAAGCTGAGTCAACCACTACGTGAACCCAGGATCGAACTCATGGTACGAAGAGTCTGCACTGCAGTACTGCAGTTTAACCACTGTGTCATGAGGCCCTTGGGGAAGAACAGTATTGTACTGCACCTTTATGGCTGAAAGCTCAGTTTGGTCATAATAGAACATGAGCCATGAGTTTATGTGCCTTAACCTCCCTTTTCATCGTGTTTTACGCATATGAGAAGTTCCACCTTGCATTTTAAACTAACCACATTTCCCCTTGCAAGTCTATACTTGGTAGTTCTAGCATGTGGAAGTCCCGATGTTGTAAGCAGGAGTTATCTGACACTAGCATAAAAGTTTGGTAGTTTGAAGAAATAATGTAGGGTCATGTGAGTAAACAGGCAGGTGGCTTTTTGTATCAGAAAGCTATACACAAAGTCTGTGTAAATCAGCTGATTTTAAACCTATTGAATAATTATAACAGTATATAGAACATAACTCATGTTTTTTCATGTTAGGACGAAGGGAAGCTAGTAAAAGTTTATCTAGTGTTGCAGTTGAAGGAACAGGTAACGTATTAAAAGAGAAAGTTGAGCAAGTTATTACAGCCCAAGAGCCAGGTAAGAAAAGGCAAAGGTATCTTGCTTGATCTTTGAATGCTAAATAGGTGTTAGCATTTGTCGTAAGCAGTACAACAGTATGGCAAGACAGGTTTTACTGTGTAATTGGTCTTGCATTGTGAAATCAACTAAAGCATTTTTAGAAATTTTAGAATCCAAGGTTATCAGATTTCCTGAGGACAGAAGAAAATGCTCCACCTGTTGAGCTCTGTTTTGTTATTACATAAGCATAAGATCATTCTTTTGTCTTCTTGTATGAGCTCCAGAAAAGCTATGAGCATACAGTATGTAGCAGAGTATTGTGTACAAATGGGAATTCTCCCACCTCCCCAAAGCAGGTATTATGTAGTGACTAACAGCCTAAATTAGGAATTAGGAAGTATCTGTTACAGATCTTTGACTCTGACCAAAGCTCAGTGAGTCTCAGACTCTATTGTTTATTTACAGTATAGATAATAATACTGTTACACCCTACACATTTCTGTAAACAGCTACATAATGAGTGTTGTTATCACTGGTCTATAGTGACAGATTGCTGATAGATTTGATTTGCCAAATTTGTCAAAACAGAAGCGTTCTTTTGCTTGGAGATTTTTCAGCTCCTATCTCTTAATGGTGAGGATTTAAGGAAGGAGTGATTGTATGCACTGTGAAACTGATCATCCTAGAATCTGGAAGTCACTAACATATGAGGGTTCCTAAGACCTTTTGAAGCATTCTTGCTGAGTTTTTAAAGGATGGACTGTGCATGTAGTACAAGGAAAATAAAAAATTGATCTCAAGCAGTGACTTAAAATAATAGCCAGCACAGCACTTTTTCCTGTTGTCCTTTAACTAGTTTAATGGCTTTGCACTGCAAACTTTTGTGCTAGGAATAATGGGAGCAAATAGCTTTGCAGCTAGACTTGCACATGAAAAACCAGCAACTATTTTACAAGGAAAAGCTGAAGCAGAACTTTCAGTAAAGCAGAGAGGTAAGCAAATCAGGAGGCACTTCTTCAATACACTTTCTGGAAGGTACATGTTTAATCCATTTGATTAAATGTTATTTATATTTTTAAGCTATTGCTTATTTCCAACTTCCAATCTATATTTCAAATGCTGCGTACATTGTTGGAAATGTATCTTCCATTTTGATGCCTTCCAAGGAGTAACTCAAAGAGAACACATAAAAATTAAATCTACCAGCTTTCCAAACTTAACTTCCATAAGATAGAATGAGTAGACATGTTCTAGATGGGCGGTATATAAATCTAATAAATAAATAATACATCCCCTTGTTGTTCTAATTATAGGCAACAAATTCTTCCTTTTCAAGAGTTTTGCAATGGATGCCTTGCTAGGCAGTTGCAATAAAAAACAACAGTCTAGTAACAGCTTAGAGACTACCAGCAGTATCAGATTTGATTTACCATGTGTGGAATGGCAGTCATGCAAGCATTTTTCCCCATTTTCCAGATATCTAGTCTGCACCTGGTTGGACACTGAGCTGCACAACCAGTGTGCACGTAGGTACACAATGGACACCCCAGAAAATAAAGAACACTGAACAATTGTCATTGCAAATATGATAAATTGAATAGGATGCTGCCATAAATATATAGCCATCGTGCACTGTCTAGTCTCTTGATGTCTCATAAACGATGTTGTTGCTTTCTCTAAAAAAAGAAATAGAAACTAATGATGGCATGGATCATGGTTTTTGATTGTTAACATTGGAGAGCTTGAGAGACTGCTATGTTTTTCTGGGGCCCAGCTGTAGCATCCTGCAACTCCTGAAGGGGAGCATGCAGGTTTCCTTTCATCTGCCCACCCCCTGCACACACATGCCCAAATGTATAACCCGACCTCAGCATGTCTAAATTGCTCCTAACTCTGAAAAATAATCAAGATGCATTTATTTTGCAGGTGAATCATCCAGTGATGCAGGTAAAATTAATGATAAATTTTAAAACTGATAAGTATGAGGGAAATCTTTAGTGTATCTAAATGTCAGTGATGTATAACCTGGAAATATGTTGCTTTATATTCACGTTGGACATTAATATGAATATATTGTGAATTTGCTTTTATCTTAGAATGTATGAGTAGAATATAGAGTGTTATATGAGTAATCAAGGAGAAGGAGTTTTCAAATTGGTCTTGCTTTCGTCTACTACAGAGAATCTCACTCTTCATAATAAAAGCTGTAAGGGCAATCTGAATTATTAGTAGTAGGGTGGAAGAAGAAATGTTAAAGAGTTTCAATGTAAATACAATTTTCAAAATGATATGTAACATCTGTTTTATTTAATAGAGGGTGATGTTCTGAACCCTGCTGCCAGTGAAAAGATAATTGTTCCTGAGAATACTGAAATTGCTAATGAACCTCCTCCCCAAGTTACTCAAAGGTGCACTTGAATCTCTTTCCTTTCATTTATGCTCATTAACTTCTTTACTAAGTTCAGGATTCAGAGGTGGAATTTAATTTCAGAATGATGAAATGTAGTAAAATTGGGAGGGGAATGATCACGCCTCATGACTGGACTCTTCAGATTGCCTCTAGAGAGCTGGAAAACTCTCCCAGCTAGGTTTTTGGGCGGCATTGGCGTCTGTGATGGGGACTACGCAATGTTGGATTTACCCCATGGCTGAATATATGGGTAGAAACCAGCCAGAATTAATTGAATGCCGCTTATTTCAATCAGAATACTTAATCATGTTCTTGCATTGAGGTCAGTGGCATCTAAGATCTTTTCAACTTGAGTTGATTCTCCTGCAATCATTTAAACTGAAAGTGGCTTAGAATACATTGGCCTGGTTTGCATGCAGTGCTAAACTGTGACTTTATGTTAACATGCACAAGTAGGAAGGAGCATTGGGATGTCATATGCATTTGTACACACTTTGTCCCTCCTCATCTTTCTCCCCTTATGGCTAGAAGAATTCCATTCAGAAAGCTTGCTTTAAATCTCTGCTTCACAGGTAATGAAAGCAGGGTTAAATGAAACAAACAGAAAACCAGTGATGCAGCAGACTCAGAATTGCAGTATATAAAAGTAAAGTTAGCTGTCATGCATACATTTTCAATTCTCAGCATATTAAATCTTTGGTTCTTGGATACTGTTAGATTTTTAAAAGATTAGAATTTTAAAACTTCTTGAAAATCTGTTTCAGATTGTCATATGAATAGATAAATGTAGCATATTGGTCAGAAAGAGTGGAAATAAATTTGGGTTTCTGTATTCTTTAATTGTCAGTTATGCAAACAGATAATAGGGCACTGCCCAGTCAACATTAAGTACTGTATGTTTCAGTCCCTTTGGTTTCATTGGAAGTTAAATATATGCTTAATGATTTCTGGTCAAAATCACAGGACTTCGTATATTTGTTTGGATTTTTTTTAAAAAAAAATTAATCTCTCCCCCCTTCTCTCCTATCCTGACTGATTAGAATAAATTTACAGGTTGTTGGGTTTTTTTGGTATAATAATACACATTCATTTATAAAGGAAAATACATCAAGGTTTAAAATGATGGATTTTTGGAGAATCATTTAAAATAAGCTTCATGAGTTGAATTCTGTTAATAGCTAAAACACCTTTCTAACCCACTTCACAGAAGATTACCAAGACCCAACAGTGCAAGGCCAGCTCCTCCCAGGATAAAACGCCAAGAAAGTACAGACGCTTTAGTGCCAGAGAGGTAAGGACAAAATAAGTCAGTTATTTATAATGCTTTTAAGAGTGCTTTCATATAGTTCTCTAGTCTGTTCTTCTAGTTAAATGCAGTCTGTAAGCATTGTTGAAAACCTAGGCTCTAATAATTGCTAGCTTCAAATATATGCAATTAGCAGACAAAAATCATTAAAATATAAGGAACAAAAGCATTTATCCCAAGATTGAAATAAAGAAATAAAACTTATGAGGAAAATTGATGGGGGGGACTCTGTTATGTGGCACTTTCAGTACGTTCTGAGATGTTTTAAGGCTGTATTGTTCCATTTAATTAATACTTCTACAAATAAGGAAAAAATAGTAAAGAAAAGTTTCCATGGCTGACTGAGGAAACTCTTAAAATTGTCATAGAAATAGGGTGAGAAGCCAGAATTTTAGTCATTTGCATGCAGGGACAGTAGAACTATTATAATAATAAGTGCAAACAAATAGAAGAGAAAAACAAACAGTAGGAAAATGACAGATACCTTCTGTAATGTCTTTAAAAATCAAAGGGAAATTTAAACTAAGATTAGGAATGCCTGAAAATTAACGGGTGAATATATAACCTAACCAGAGAAATGTAAAATAAAGATGGAAATAATGTAATACTGTACTATAATATAGAAGAGATGCAAAGATGACAGATTCCTCCAAAGAAGAATTTTTTGATGACGAACCTGTCACTCTGGAAAGTGAAGGAAAACTGATCTCAAAACAGTTGGAAGAATAAATCACCAGAAGATGGGATAGCTAGTTCAGGCTACAGAGAATGAATCTGTCAAAATGCTAACAAGAATGTGCGACAAAGGAAACAAAACAACAGCTGACAGATCAAACATTCACAATACTTTCCATTTCTGAAGAAAGGAAATGCCAAAGATTGCCATTTCTATACAACCATCTCACTAATTTTCCATGCAAGTAAAGTGAAGATCAAGATTTTACATAGTCTTTTAACCATATATGGACTGAAATCTTGTTGCACAGCTCCACCTGTGCATTGGGAGTGATGTTAGGAGCAGTGGCAAATTCCTGATAATTAAAGGTGTGCTTTGGTGATTTTTGTCATGGAGACATCTTCATTCCATTGTATATAAGTTGTGTGTGCCCTGAAATTGCTAGTGAAAGCCTTTAATCGGGTTATTTTCTGTTCCTGAGGATGTAATTCCCATAGTGCCACAGAATGCTTTTGATAGTTGGAATGAGTTGAGCTGTAACAACAGTGGCTATCCAGATTATACTCATGGAAAGAAGCTCTGCCAGGGGGATCAGAAGGGTCCTGTCCATGTAAGGAGATAGTTACCAACAGTGGTTCTCTTGCTGGGATTAACAGGCAGAAAGTGTTGAAACTGGAGACACCTGAATGGGTTGAAACTGGTCTTGGGTTTGCATCCCTCATGTACCAGTTGGGATCAGGTGTAGCAATGTGAATATGTTGTGAGATAGTTGAATTTTAGCAACAGACCTTATTTTAGGGCAAACACAGTTTGACTGCCTTGATGGATGACCTACATGAGGGACTGGATGGAGGAGGGCTCTTTATTTTTCTGGACCTCTTGGTGTGTTCAACACCATTGATCATAGTATCCTTCTGGGCCTTATCTCTTGGATAGATACCAGAGACACTGTTTTATTGTGGCTCTATTCCTGGAGGTAGTGCTGGGGACTCCTGTTTGACACTGGCTTTTGGCCTGTGGGGTTCAGTTCTATTCCCCAAGCTATTTAACATGTATGTGAATCTGTGGTGAGACACTCAACTCTCATTTCCATTTAACCTCTTTGTGCTAGCTGGAAGGAAGGTGTTTTGGTTCTAAGCTGGTATCTGTTGTCAGTAATGGACAGATGAAGGCAAACAAAATGAAGCTTAATCAAGACAAGACAGAAGTGCTTCAGGTCAGTCAAAAGGCAAATCATGGAAGAGAGATTCAAGCCCATCTGGATCAAGTTATGCTCCTCACAGCTCCGCTGTACTCCTTAGCCTGGATGCCCAAAATTTCAGTGACATTATGTATGCATTTGCAGAATTTAAGCTAATGGGTCAACTGCACAAATTCCTGCAGATGTCTGATCCAGTTGTGGTAAAACACGTCATATACATCCTACATGTATTATTGAAATACACTCTATATCAGGCAGATGCAACTTGATGGTACCAATAGCAAAACATTTCAAGACACTTTTCAGACTTTATCAAGACGATGCTCTCCAGATGTGTTCGGCTGTGCCTCCCATCACCCTTATACCAGCATGGGCATTGACTGGAGAAAAATCAAGAGTTGCAGCTTAACATATCTGGAAAATACTGAGTTGGAGAATACAGCTTTTGAGGACTACCACCTGTTGATTTTTCTGGATTTGATAGTTTTGGGGGGCCCTGCCCCCACTGTAAGCAACAAGTCAATATAATCTGCCTCTCTTCCCTCTTCTCAGCTAGCACAAGGAGGATGACTGAAGGATCTGGAAACCAAACTCTTTGAAGAATGGTTGAAAGAGCTGGATATACTTAGCCCGAAGAAGAGAAGATTGAGAATTTATATAGTAGCCTGGTTTTCTGTGGCTTCATAGTGTGGGACCCATACTGATGTGTTTGAATTAAAACAAATAGCTTTTTCCTCTCACAATCATAATAATTATGATTCTCTCTTTTCTTTCTTCTAGAAATGGAAGTGCCAAAATCATGTCAAATGTAATTATAGATAAAGAGGAAGAGGAGGAGGATGACCAGTTTGTGGTAGAAGCAGCACCACAGTTACCTGAAATAACAGAAATGGCAATGGTGGGTTCATTCATTTCCTCATTCAAATGTGGGCTTCCCACTGTTTGCTCTAATCTCTCCCATGAATTTATACATGGCTATTTAAGGCAAGCTTATGAATGATGGCATCCAATCTGGAGATGGAAACACCCATCAGGATTGTTAGCCTAGTGTTGAATTGTCATAGAAAATCACTGCTGAAAGGAACAGTTAACACTCATCGTATTATTAACTAATAGAAGCAACCTAGAGGCATGAACCTTGGCTCATGGCTTTCTTCTCCAATTTTCGAAAATCTGTTACAGCCTTGGTAGTTCAGTATGGATGCTGTAGGATATCTTTCTTTCACAAAGATTTGTTAGAATCTTCTGGATAATTAGCCACCCTTCAGTTTCAAACTGAACTGAAAATTCTTATCAGAGCCTATGGTTTCCAAATTGGAAAACTGAGGTTTGTTTTTATTTCACAGAAAAGAAAAATAAATATGTAAAATATAGCTCCATTCTCTGCATGAGTTGGTAACCTTCATTTTGGTTTAATTTATTTTTGGAAAACGAAGTATCTCTGAAGGACAGAAATAATTTCCACTGCCAGTTTGAAATACAGCTGTTGCTGTGTTTTTATAGGTTAAGGTTTTGGGCTCTTAAGTCATAGTAATATAAAACTTATTCCCTCTTTTCTTCAACTGCTGTTTCTCAGGAGGCAACAGTAGAGCTGGAGGAAGATGAAAAGCACGGTAAGTATTTGGTTTAATTTGTGGTTTTCTCCTTAAGCTTTTTCACATTTGTTCTAGCTAATTTTAGAAAACAGTAAAATTGGCTTAAATCATAGCCATTTTTTTCTTCTCTGTCTTTTCGTGCTTGTTTCTTATTTGCTCAGCGCTGTCAATCTCCACATTTTTGTTCAGTTGCATCCCCTTATTTTCATGCTTGTCTCAGTCTAAGATGGCTTCTGAAAGTACATACTCATCCCTATTGTGTTTGATCCCTCTTCCTTTATTTATTGGATGTAACTCAGTCTTGGGCAAACGGAATGCAAACAGACACAACTGATCTTTGCATTCCAGTTTGGTATCTGGAAGCTTTCTGTACCTACAAAATAGTCAGTGACCCACAGAACATTGTAAACTATGTCCAAAAAAGAAATTTTGCCACCCAGTTTTGGGAAATTCCCTCTCCCACTGAAACACTGTCCACAGTGATCTATAGATCTCCCTGACAAGAGCCTTTTGGTAGCTGCTGAGGGGAGGAGAAAAGAGGAAGTATCTGTTATTTGACATTGCCTGCTGTTAGCACAACATTGTTTTTTCTTCATGATCTGTGTGAAATCATACATACAGGCGAGGTAGATAAAAATCAATTGACATTGCCTGCTGTTAGCACAACATTGGTTTTTCGTCATGATCTGTGTGGGGTAGATAAAAATCAATTATTTTTTTAAAAAATCAAATTGAATTAAATCATGATTTAAATTTTTAAAATAGATTTTTTTAATTTAAATTGTGCGTTGAATCAAATCCACTCTGCATATGGGGTCCTTTTGTGCCTGTGAAAATGATCTCAAAACCTTCTAGAGCCTACGAACAGTGTTAAGACACACTCTCTCATACCCTGTTTCCCCCAAAATAAGACCTAACCTGAAAATAAGCCCTAGTATGATTTTTCAGGATGCTCATAATATAAGCCCTACCCCAAAAATAAGCCCCAGTTAAGTGAAACCCCACCCTCCACCATTGTGCAGCAACCAGAAGAAGATGCCATGACTGTATTTGAATAAATGTAGATTGTTGTTCATGAAAAAAATAACATCCCCTGAAAATGCGCCCTAATGCCTTCTTTGGTGCAAAAATTTATATAAGACCCTGTCTTATTTTCGGAGAAACACGGTACTCCCGAACTTGACATTGGACCTCAGTTTCTTTTTTGCTGCCGCTGAGAGAACACCTAGGAGCTTTCTCAGAGCCTTCACATTTTACCTCAGATTGCTAAATTTTTATATAGTTCTTACCATTCAGTCGTTTGCCTTCTTCTCATTCTCCATTTTGCAGAACAAAAACAAAGGTTTAGAGACTTCTTCTTGCATTCATTTAGTTATCCATTAACAGCTCTTCCTGTTCTTTTTATGGCCTCAACCGTGAAAGTGTATTAACTGTAGCAACAAAATTGCTCCTGATTGGCCATACCCACCACCCTACTACCAGTATCAACCAGCAAATGGAGACAAGCCTCCAGACCCACAATGCCACAGTGTTCACTCACCTTGGTGCTAAATGAACTTATGAAACCATTGTTCAAACCCATGGCATCTTCACATCCCAGGCTTCTGAGCTCCAAGATTGTTTTCCTGGTCATGGTCACTTCTGCACATAGGGCTAGTGAGCATGGCGCACACAGGAGTGACCAGTCTCTCCTTCTTACCTAGAGTGGTCTACAAGTTCCACATCAATCAGCCGTTAATGCTTCCAGCTTTTTTTCCCCACCACCTACTTTAGAATTGGAAAAATCACTCCACTATTTCAATGTCTACATAGCATTAGACTTTTACACATCGAGAACAGGGATTTCAGATTTTTTGTTAGCTACCAGAGATCAAAGAAGGGTGACTGTTACACCTCGAAGATTGTCTAAATGGATAGTTAGCACAATCACCTTATGTTACCAACTAGCAAAGAGACCACAACCTAATTTTTTTAATTAACATTTTATTAGTTTTTCAATCTATCTACATTCAGTTTGTTCTTGTTAAACATCATGTCACATGGGTTGCTTATAATTATTTGTTTTTGCTTCTTAGTGTCTTCTTAGTTGTCCCTTCAGAATCTTTATATTTTTTGAACATTGACCCAATCATGTATGCATTTTAGTGTACAATATTGGTTACTATCATAATATTGCTCTTATAGTATAAATTGTTCTCAAAATCCTCTAATAAAGTACCTAATACAGCGGTGCCTCGCTTAACGAGGGCACCGCATAACGACGAAATCGCATAGCGATCCGTTTTTTCGAATCGCTAATGCGATCGCTTAACGTTTTTCTAATAGGGCAAAATTCACTTTGCGAAGACCGGTAAGCGTTTAGCTTACCGATCTTCGCAAAACGAAGCCCAGCGATCAGCTGTTCGGCAGCCAAAATGGCCGCCGGAAGCCCGGAAATGGCTGCGCGCAGCGTTTTCGCGCCCATGTTTAATGCGTTCCAATGGAAATCTCTGCCCCGTTCAACGATGCTTCAGCTATGCGAGGCACCACTGTACAAGCAATTCTGGTTTCAAATATATATAATTTTGAGACAATTTAACTAACCAACTTTGTATTTTATACCAATAATAACTAAATAGGTTCTTAACACATAATAAATGTTATCTAAAGCATTTTACATAGATTTTCTTTATATAATTGTTTAGCCAGTTCTGTCTCCACATTTTCTGTCATGTCTATATCATATCTAATATATGTTAATTAAGTACTCTTTCTTTTACCTCTAATGTCTACCTTGGAGGCTGAAGGACACTTGCTCATCAGATAGTTCCCTTGATGTTTGTATTCTTGTAGCAGTCCATTCCCATAATAATGCTATCCCAGCTTGTGTTCCAGTTAAGTTCAGAACTCAGGATACAGTTTAAGAAAACTTCCACTTTTGCAGAATTAGACTTTCAAGGGTTAATTTGTCTATATTTCACTCAGTCTTCAGAGAAAAAAAAAGAAGTCAGAATCTCCACAGAGTCTTCAAGGTCAATGTTCTGGGCTTTTTGCCAACACTAGATAGCGGTAAATAGCCATAACATAACCAGTTTAACTGCAGAGTTGTTTAATTAATAATAATATTAGGAGAAAGATTTTTAAGTTTCTAATGCCAGAGTACTAGCAAACTTCCTCCCTTGAAATCTGGGCTTTTTGCCAACACTGTAGATAGCGGTAAATAGCCATAACATAACCAGTTTAACTGCAGAGTTGTTTAATTAATAATAATAGTAGAAGAAAGATTTTTAAGTTTCTAATGCCAGAGTACTACCAAACTTCCTTCCTCGAAGTATAATTAAATATCTAATTAGTGTCCAATTTATTTGCTTTGCTTTGCCTCTCTTCCTCTCTCCAGATTCACCGCTGCTCTTTAAGTGGTGAGGTTAAGAGATACTATTTCTGTTAAAGGGATTGTCTTGTCCAGGGAAAGTCATAAAACAGTATAGTTATAAATATTTCTCACCCAATGATAGCAATGTTAATTAGCTGGTTTATTGCTTCTGAAATTCCGGCTGCCGACACCCAATGATAACAATGTTAATTAGCTGGTTGATTGCTTCTCAATTTCCAGCTGCCGACAACTTGCAAGAAAGTTTTTCAGCTGCTTGTTTCCGCCTGCTGGTTGATTGGGGAATTTCCCAGATCAAACAGGAGAAACCGCCGTCCCCCCCATGATCAACAGGCATCACTCTTATTTCACCACCTCTTCAGGGTGGTTTTAATGCCCTGGGGGGTCCCAAACAGGTCAGAATTCAGCCCAGGGGACGATGCTCCATCCTCCTGCTGCTGTCTCTTCGCAGCGTCAAGCCGGAAGTTCACAACCTAATTTCTTGAAGAGGCACTTAACTAGATCAGTTGCTGAATCAACGGCACTTCTCAAGAGAGTTTAACTGAGATATATTTGTAAAGCAGTGATCAGGGCTCAGCCTTCAATGCTCATCAACCATTATAGATCAGACATCAGGGCCAAACTCAATGCTGCATTTGGCAGTTCTTCAGGTGGTCATCTCTGCATTCCTGCAGTCCACCCAGCCTCCCCTCAGTCTGCCACACAATTCCTGTCTTCTTACCAGTGGCCGACTGGAGAAACTGAAGGCCTGATGTAAGGTTGGGAGTATGTGCAGTGGAGAGAATGTGTCTTAACACTTTCCTTAGGTTCTGGAAGTTTCCAGTGTCATTTACGCAAGCCTGGAAGGAACCCATATATGTGAATTCACAGCTAATCACTTGAAAAACTACAGCTACAGGTAAGCAAGCTTACCATTTCACTTCCAGAATTCCTCTTATTATGACTATTACTTATCTTTAGGTCCTGCTTTCCATATATCTATATCCATTGTTCCTAATGCTAGTAAGAATTATTTGTGTATATGTTGCCTCCCCACTGTTATTACATTACAGCATCCATAAGGATTTAATTGTTGAAATCCTGCTGCTTAGCAAAGGAAGTTGGACAAGAGTAGGCCCACTGAATTAGTAAGGATTTGCTGAGTCAACTCCTCCCATAAGTTCTGTTGATTCAGATGAGCCTACTCTTATTACAATTTGCAACACAGTAAGATTAGTAAGGATTTGCTGAGTCAACTCCTCTCATAAGTTCTGTTGATTCAGATAAGCCTACCCTTATTACAGTTTGCAACACTAAAGTAACAGCTACAGTAAGCCCTTTGAATCAATGGAAGTTATGGAGGAGTTGATCCACCAAATTCCTGCTGATTCAGTGGGCCTACTCTAGTGAGGCATACTATGCTAAGCGACAGGATTTCAGCCAATATGCTATTCAAAGAAAAACAGCACTGGATTATCACCATGTTAATGTAGCATATTTATCCCTTCAAAAGTATTGTTTTTAGATTTATAACTATACATTAATGTTCGACAGGTGGGCTTGTCAAAAGAATATTGGAAACGAAGAAAGATTATGAATTATCACAGTTGCCAAAATCTGCTGAGAAGGTAATATGCTAATAATTTAAGGTAGTGGGTCAGATCTTGGTTGCTTAATCTTTTAATCCCCAGCTTTTTTGTTGCTGTTATCTAGTTCCTTACCCAAAAAGCAAAATGAGCTCTTCAGTTTAAACAGTGAAAGATTTACATTTTTAATAACCTCATAATAACAGTAGTGCTTCTGTTAAAGGCCATCCTATTCAGTGACACATGTTTCCTACTTAGGACTATATTCATAGTTAAAACTAAAATTGTATATACTTTTCAATTAATGTTTTCCCTTCTCCACTGGGATTTCTTCAGAGATGATGTGTGTCAGTGATCAGACTTGAAAATTAAGCCCCTGTTTATCTTCCAATGACCAATTGCAAAATAAAGCATGTGAGAAAAAGTGTGGGCAGTGACAGTCAGATGTTTGCCAACTCTTGAGTAAGCTAAACATATGTTTTGGTTTGACTCGTACTTACAGACCACCATTTAACCAATAAAGTCCTTGTTTTTTTCTTGTTCAAAAAATGTCAATAAATATTGTTATATTGCTAGACATCTTGGTGGATGCAGTGTGTTGCAGTAGATAGAGACTTTGTCTTAGCCTGTGGAGATGTAAGTTTAAATCCTACTAACCATACAACTTTCTTGGATAAATATGGGCTAGTACCAATCTTCTAATATAACCTACTTCACCAGATTATTGTTGGATGAAACAGATGGCCAGAGGTAGTGTGGAGTGGAAGAATCACGAATGCCATGCTGAAGTCCTGATGGAAAATATACTGCAAAATAACACATTGTAAACTTTAGAGGTACTAATGAGTAAAATCCAGATTCTCCCACATATTCTGCTCTCTCAAGAGGTTTGAATTTTGAGCAGGGCTGTTCTTGAAAAATTTGACAAAGGTCATAGTAAAGGAGACAATCTGTAGGTTATACATATCCCAGTCCATAAAGGCAAAACCTAGGACCTTGAACTGGCAGTCAGGGTGAATACCTTGTCATATTGACTCTGTATGTTCTTTCATTTCTGCTTTATCAAGAGGTGTGTTGTGTCAATCTATGCCAATTTCATCTTCTGATATTTATATTTGAAGTCCCCCTTTTGTCCTGTTACTGCTGTTTAATGGTTTCACCTAATGTTAGTGTTGGGTATATTTTTCTCCTCTCTAACTCCAAGAAATTTGTCTAAATCAGTGGAGGGCTGCTCATGGCATCTAGTAGATAGATAGTTAAGTTTATTAGCCAATGGCCATCAGACTCAAAGTGCTCCAGAACAGAGTAAGTTTATTTCGTCAACAAGATTACATAACAATAACTTTCAATATTTGAGATTAAAAATATTTAAATTTATTTAAAAGATGCACTACAGTGTTTGTTTGTGTGTTCAGTCGTTTAGTCGTGTCCGACTCTTCGTGACCCCATGGACCAGAGCACGCCAGGCCCTCCTATCTTCCACCGCCTCCCGGAGTTTTGTCAAATTCATGTTGGTTGCTTCGATGACACTGTCCAACCATCTCATCCTCGGTCGTCCCCTTCTCCTCTTGCCTTCACACTTTCCCAACATCAAAGTCTTTTCCAAGGAGTCTTCTCTTCTCATGAGATGGCCAAAGTACTGGAGCCTCAGCTTCAGGATCTGTCCTTCCAATGAGCATTCGGGGTTGATTTCCTTTGGAATTGATAGGTTTGTTCTCTTTGCAGTCCAGGGAACTCTCAAGAGTCTCCTCCAGCACCACAATTCAAAAGCATCAATTCTTCGGCAGTCAGCCGAATGTAAAATTTATTATATACAATGCACTACAGTAGCATTGTATATAATAAATTTTACATTTAAATAAAATCAGGCTTCTTATTTACAGAGCTACCAACCTGTACAAACCTTTGGTTTTGTTTACTATTCGTCTTTATCAGTTTGGCTTATCCAATTTTCCCTCAATTTAATGGCTAAACAACCATATTTAGCGACTTTACAGATTATTTTGTTTTTTCTATCCACTAGCAACTTTTGGAGACAACCCTTCCTTTCTCTCCCCTCCATATCTGATATTATAGGATTAATATACCATTCCCAGATCTGTTCATGTATTTTGCACTCAGAGAGAACATGTTCTAACATCCCAGTCTTCCCCTCGGCATACACACTTAGTTGTTTCAAATAGGGAATTTTCTTATATCTGCCTTTCTTATATCTACTCTGATTTTTCTTTAGATTGTATAAATATTTTGGCATCCAGTAGTTAGACTACAACTACTATCAGCTTTAGCCAGCATAGCCAGTAGTCAGGATGCTGGGCTTAGAGTCTTAAAAAAACTCACAAAGTTTCATAGTACAAAAATGGTGGTGGTGAATTTGGCTCAGCATTGTTGCTGTCATTGAGCAAAGGCCCAAACCCTGTTGCCAAATACCATGCATGTAACGGTGCAGTTTTCATAATTTGCTGGCTTCCAGTCACATAACTGATTGTGCAGTTGGTACATAGCACTTGCCCAGTTCCACCAGATTTCAGAAATGATTGCCTGGGACAGGGCCTCCGTTATGACACTTGGTAACTGGAAGGGAGGAGGGTGAGGAACCATGGCAGAGGAATGCCTGATGGCTGCTTTCATCTCATAGCCTCATGCAGTCAGTAGCTAGAGGACTGGGAAAATTAACCTGGAGGGATTCCGAGGCATGATGGAGGAGGACTACTTTTCATATAGTGGTACAGGTATAGATAATACACCTTTATATGTGTATGAAACAGATAGGTAAATAACAGGGATACTCTAGCCACTGTAGTGGATGCCTCATCATATCTAATTTGTTTTAACGTGTTCAAAAACATTTCATGAATTTCTTGTGATGCACTGAAGTAGATGAAGACTACTGAGAAAAGGAGTTTTCTGAGCATTCTTAACTACTGAGCTATTAATTATCCAGGGAGAGAACTTTGGAAGAGTAGGCCATTTTATCTTGCATTTTTGCTTGTAAATCTGATATTACACTTTCATTAAGGTCTCTAATGCATCAGTGCCCATTTTCTACGATTTATGTTTTGCTTTTCAACCTATCATATTTAGCTAAGCTTTTTATCATTGTGTACCTTCCCTCTTTTTCTGCCTTTTTCTTTTTTTAAAATCAATTAGGAGAAGCCACTTCTATCAGAAGCAGCAAGGAGAAAAGAGAAAGACCTAGTAGCAAAAGAAATAGATAAATTCCGTGGATCCATTCAGGCTCTTTGTCGGAGTGCTCTCCCTCTTGGAAAAATCATGGACTATATTCAGGAAGATGTTGATGCCATGAAGAATGAGCTCCAGATGTGGCAGAAGGAAAATAAACAACTTGAAGAGGCCCTACAGAAGGAACAAGGGTGAGGATGTTGATGGACTTGCTTAATTTGCATGAAGCGACACTGAGGTTTAAGGGCAGATTATAATATACTGTATTTCGTAAGTCAGGCTGAGTGGTATCAAGCTGATCCGAGATGTCCATTAACTATTAAGATCATATAATTACAGAGAAATATTGAGGGAAGAGTCAGAGCAAACCCAGAACTACAGTGGTTTGAGGGAGGTGCATGAACACCTCACTCAAGCTGTCAGAACAGGCCACAACAACAGAAACAATTATGTTGTTCCTGCTGTCTTTAGGAAGTTGATACTAGGTTGAAGAGAAATTGAGCAACCATTCATTCTGCTCCTTGCCTATACATCACAAGGTTTCTTACTTGTTTTGTCAGGATTGGTACTCACTTGAACAGTCAGGCAGACTTTAGTTCCAGGAAGAAATCACAAGATTTAGCAGAGGTTGATGAGTACTCTGCCTGCTAACTATTCTGGGCTTTGCTATTGCTTATGTGAGCCACAAAGGGGACATGTTGGGCTCTCCAGAAGTTTTTAGGCTTCAGATTCCATCAGCCTCAGATAGCTTGACCAGTGATCATAAAAGACGACGTAGTTGAACAACATCTGGAAAACAGCAGTTCTCCATCCCTGCTGTAGCCTCATAAAACCCAGTTGATGAGTCAGGATTGTAAGCAATTTCTGGTCTAGTCAATGTTACCTGCACATATAAATATTAGTGAATATTAAAATGTGTGCTTTGCATATACATAAATGCTACTACCGCAGGAAATCTTTTTATTCGCATATCCTAAAAGGACGTAACATACTATCTAAATGAGTTATCTGGTGGAGCAGAGATGTTTTTAAATGCTCCCTCCCCTGCCCAAATTATTCTTCCTATCATGCGACATAGGATGTATGTACTGGTGTTATGATAGATGGCAAATATGGATACTGTTCTGTGTCATACTGTTGTCAATATACAGTTGTGATCTAGGCTGCAGCCCTGTGCACATTCTATTGGCAAACAGGTCCTTCTGAAATCAGTGGTTTACATGTCTATAGGCCATCTCTAAGATGAGGCTTAGAGTAGACGATCTTGTGTTTCACTTTTGTACCGGTTATATAGTATGGTATATCTCTACTGCTCCAGTTTTACAGATGGGGAACCGAGTAAGACATTTGCCTAAAATTACCAAGTTGCTGAATAAGCTACAGTTGACCACAAGATTCTCAGGCTCTATATCTACAATCTGTTGAACCACTCTTATTTCCAGCTTAATTTTGTTACGACAGTCTTTTTTCCCCTTGACCTCCCTGATGTACACCTATGGGCAGAATCCCATTTGTTCCTTCAGTTCTCACAACAATCCATTCTACAAGTGGCTACACAATTTCCAATTTTGCACGGGGGTATGTTCAATAATATTGTCTTGTACAAACTGATAACCTGCCCAACCAGTCATACAAAAGATGGTTGCACAAGTGGAAAGAATAAACAAGGTTGTGCCCAATAATTTTTTCATACATGGTTGTATACTCAGGATGGATTCACAAAGTGTAACATGCTGTTTGTATCCTTCTCAGTATCACAGATGGTGTGGTAGAACCCCTGAAAGCAGAACTTGCCGAATTGGACCAGTTGATCAAAGATGAGCAAGACAGAATTTGCGCAAAAAGAGCTAACATTTTAAAGAATGAAGAAAAAATTCAGAAGATGATTCATAATATTAATTCAAGAAGGTGAAAAACAGAAGGACATGGGACTGGAATTTTCTTTTCTACTAAACAGAAATGAGAAAGAAACAATGTTATAGTGTGTGGGTACAAAACTGTTGCATTCAATAGCACATGCATTTTTAAGTTAATTGATTCACATGGTTGTGCGTGACATTGGAATATTGATACCATTTAGATGAAATTTTCCATTCATTCAGTGTTTGAATTCAATGGAAAATATTCATTGGGTTGAAATCCTGTTGGCAGAAGTTGTGCTGTGTAAGGCTGTCTTGTGATTATTCAGAATTTGAACATTTCCAATCATCCTCCCTAGGTCTCGAAGCTCCCTTGGAATCCCTTTCATTATGGGGAAGCCATTGGGGGCCATGGGACTGGGAGCAGAGGAGTCTTTCATTTCCAAAAGACTGCCACAGCTGATGACATACCTTACATGGCGTACGTTGCAGCAGAATTTGAGCCATTATACTTAAACCCTCTTGATAAATTTTCTCTTCTTGTTGACAGAAGTTACTTTCCTGATTCCTTTATGCCTGTATCCTGTGATACACTCTATACGTTCATTGCTGCTGTATGTAGCATTCTGAACAAAGAGAAGCAGTTCTGCTTCAGTCATTGAAATACGAAGTTTGGGGAGTTAGTAGTGGTTAGAGTGAGCTGGAACATTTCTGGTGTTGGCAGACCCTGTATGAAGAAACATGTAAAGGACTTCTTATAGACTAAGAAAAAAAATCTGTTTACTTCTGTTTCCTCAACTCTTACAACATGTAAGAGAACAAAAGAAATGTAGCCAAATATGTTAATTACTGTTGTATGGCCTTGATTTACCTGAAAATGGGTGATTTAAATAACAGTTTTTCTGATGGTCGTGGGTTTTTGGATCTAAACAGTTTTTCTCCCCATAAATAAGCAGTCATTTATAGTTTCAGAGCCAATCATTCAGAGAATTATTAATCAAGGAGGAGACACAATTATGGATGTATGGTCTGGTTTTTGTCACATATATCAGTATCTTTTTGAACTAGGAAATGGGGCAAAAATGAAAATTCTCAGTTCTTCTAAGATGTGGTCCACTGCTGGGCCAGCTGATCACCTCTCTCAGTTGTCCTTTTTTCTTTTTCATTGAAATTATTGACTTGTAATGAGATCATTTTTGCACTAGGTGGCACTTGAAGCTGGTGCTGTATTCCATCCATCCCCTCATTCATTGATGGTGAATGCTACTCTGCTAATTACAAACAAAACAACATGCATACATTTTTAAACATTGTGTTTATATGTTTTATATAAGATTGATGAGATTACAATCTGCCATGTACTGAAATCACACATAACTCTTGACATGTGCATTAACTTCTTTATCAGAGATCAACCTTAGTGTTGTCATTTGTGGCAAAATCTACAGCTTTACAGAATGTGTAAGTTCTTGTTATATCCTTTTATGGGTTGTTTCTCTTCACAGGAAGTGAGGTAGCACAAATGGAAGGACGGGTCCCTCACCATCACCCTTTATTTCTCTCATGTGCAGTTGCCACTGTGTAAGGTAAAGAATACAAGTTTGATTACATGTGTCATCACTCATGGAAACTTTTTCAAAAAGAAAAATGTGAATAAAGTTTTGAGTGTGTCTGCTACTGTGTAATGGTTGGGGGAGTCATGTGTTCTGGAGGAATGTGGGCTGAGGGTTGGTATCAGAGTCAACTTACTTGTCAGACAGCAATCTTATGCTGGTGCTGCTTCTTCATATGGGAATATAATATATGAAATGGGATATATTATATTCCCATTTTTCCTGTTACATCTTAGATGATGGTGAATTTCTTCTTCTTTGGGATGGTTATTTTGAATAGTTTGTGAAATAGATTAACAACATACTCAGGAGGAAGCCCAGCCAGCACCAGTGGAACACAGGGACGCTTATTCTCATTGTGCAAATACAGTCCTGTGTTGAATGTAGTTGTGTGGGGAAAAATTGAAGGGACGGAGACGAAAGTGAAGTAATAAGATAATAAATACAGATGGGGGTATTTGTATATGAATATCTCTAAGCATCTGGAGTTAAGGAGGGTCCGGCCCTCACACGTCCACTGGTGACAGTGGCCCCGCTCATCGTTCCAATTGCTCCTAAGTGCAGTTCTCTTCCCAGTCGTCTAGCCACTCCTAGAAGAGGGAGGGAGGAGGAGGCTCCCTGCAAGGCTGCTCTGGGGTTAGCCAAGTGGCACTCCGGAGCAATTGGAAGGAAGAGAGGGAGGGACGCTGCCACCACTGGACATGTGAGTGGACAGTTTAGCCCCAGGAGCTGGACCCTCATTAAGTCCAGCTGCATGGGGATATTCATATACGAATACCCCCATCTCTAGTAATAAACTTTATCTAAGACTCTTAAGAAATTGTAATCAGGACATTCCTAGTAAAACAGCAAACTGCTAAAACTACAACTTTAAGAAGTAGACTAACAAAGCATACCAAAACAGTATAAACAAGTAGGGTGACAGCAGCTCAGGCAACACCCACAGCTCAGGCAAGCACACACAGTCTCTACCTTGCTTTGAAAGACTCCACTCTCAGTTGTTGAGCATTGGGTATGGGGGCAGGGCAAAGGGTGGCACAGTCACAAGGAGCTGACCCCTTTGTCTCTTCCCTCACAGCTTCCAAAACAGCATTTGCCTTTTTTGCAGCCACATCACACTGTTAGCTCATAGTCAGTCAACACAAGCAAGGAATTTCTTGGAAGAGTCATAATTGGCAGAATTTACCTCCCAACAGATACCAAGATAATTAAAATATCTCATTACTACTTGTGAAGGAGAGCATGTTAGTGAGCCGTCCTCAGTAAGAAGTGTGCAGGAGGAGAGTTGTGGATGTGTAGAAGGCATACTCATAAACTTAGAAGAAGAAGGAATGACAGAAAGGAAGGCAATAGAAATACAGTGGTGCCTCGCACAACGAGTGCACCGTAGAGCGATGAATTCGCTCTACGAGGCTGATTTTGCGATCACAAATGTGATCGCATACCGATGCCTCAATAGGGAAAAAAATCGCAGAGCGAAGATCAGTAAGCAGTTCGCTTACCAACCTTCGCTTTGCGCCCCGCCGATCGATCAGCTGTTCGGTTGCTAAAAAAGGGCCGCCGGAAGCCGCAAAATGGCCACGCGCAGCGTTTTCACGCCCTCGTTAAGCGAGGAGAGGGCGTGAAAATGGCTGCTGGCCATCAGAGAAACATCGCTGAACGGTGAGTACAGCAGCCGATTGGAACACATTAAACAGTGTGGGCTTTTCTGCCTCGCTCAGCAATGTTTTCACACAGCGAGGGTTAATCCGGAATGGATTAACCTCGCTGTGCGAGGCACCACTTTATGTCCATCAGAAGATCAGGGGGAAGAGAAAGGGAGGAGCAAGATCTAATAGTTTGGGAGGAAGTTATAAAGGAGTAGGGTGACGTGCAGAATTTTAGAATTGAAACGGAAGACAACGAAAGGGACAAAAGATTTGTATTCGCGAAGGCTTTCACGGCTGGGATCTAATGGTTATTGTGGGTTTTTCGGGCTTCTTGGCCGTGTTCTGAAAGTGGTTCTTCCTAACGTTTCGCCAGTCTCTGTGGCCGGCATCTTCAGAGGACAGCAAACTGTGCTCTGGGTAGGCTTGAGAGTGGGTGGAGTATTTGTGGCTGTGAGAAGGCTAGTTTGTGAGGTAGGCTATTGTCCTAATCAGGAGATGGTTGATTAATGTGTTTTGTTGTGGAT